GCAAATAAAGCGACTCTAACTGTTAGAAAACTGTTCGAATCCCAAGGCGGTTCCAAATAGGGGGTGATATCAGTGATACAGCGAGTAATTACTACCTCATCTGTGCCAAGAGAGTCGGGCGGCTGGTTCATAGGCACGCTTTTCGCTTAAAATAACTAACGATAGAATGATGAAGGAGCTTATTTGTACACATTTCACATCTTCACCCAAGTGGATGAAGTAAAGCTTCAAAAGTTTGGAAAGAGTTCCAATTGTCCTTGTAGAAGCAAACTGCAAGTGATCGGAGTCAGGTGAATGTGGCTATCATGCTATTGATCCTATTCTTGAACCGGTTGCCACATGGATCCACGTGGATCTAAGCCGAATAAATCAAAATGTCGAGCAAGGCTGCATCTAAAAAGGGTGGAGCAAAATCAAAGGACTCCAAAGGCTCCAAGGCCTCAGGCAAGGCAAAAGGCTCGAAAGGATCAAAAGGAAAAGAAAAATCCTCCTTACCACCAGAGGAATTGGAGAACCTGCTATTTGGTAGAAAACTCTATGAAGATGTGGATGCAGTGTTTATTAAAAGGTCAAAAAACATTGCCCTCTTCTGCCAAAAAATTCATATTTACGAAGTGTGGAATCGTCTACCAGAAATATTCACCGACATAAGTCCACAGGGTGACAATGGTGGCAAGGTTGGTACTTCCAAGGCCTCCAACAAATCCAAGGGTTCAAAAGGATCCAAGGGATCAAAAGCCAAGGGCTCAAACAAATCCAAAGACAAGAAGGCTTCAAAGGGTGGGAAGAAAGGTGGAAGCAAATCGAAGGGATCAAAAGGCTCTGACAAAAGTGACAAACAACTCAAGGAGAGGAACTACGATGATCCGATTGTGGTGGAAGATGGACCGGAGGTGCCAGAGTACGAAAGAGCCATGCTTGTCGGTGCTGTCGCCTTTCCCTGCTGTTTATGCCAGAATGGTGATAAGATATTTGTTGAAGTGAATGCTGACTTTGTCTACTGCGATTATGCCAAAGTACCGCCCATTCCAGTCCCCATTAGATGCAAAACTCGATGCTACAAAGACCTCTACTACATCTATCCCCTCAACATTGATCGCATGCCACCATTTCTCACCTTCACTCAAAATATGGTAGCTAAAATTCAAAAAGACTTTCCATCAGGATGGTATGTTGCACCATTTGTCTTTGATCTGACACGAAAACCGGATTCCGTAATATTTTCTCGTCCCTACTACATGGAACAGAAGACGGGCTTATTTTGGACTGTACGAGCATTCGCTGGGTCGGCGGAGCTCTGCATTCCACTGCCTGAAAATGAGGTATGCATGAGTTTCTACAAGTTCACCATTGTTCCAGTTGCCAAGCCCTCACTTCAAAGACCCTCCATCAGCCTTGACTACAATCGGTGGTCATGTTTGGAGGATCAAGGCAGTCTAAGGCTCTCAGCCACCCTAAACAAAGACGTCTACTATCAAGGTGAGGAGATTGATGTCACAGTCGCCATTTCCAATGATTCTGCTCGCCACACAGTGGTGGGTATGACGGTGTGTGTGGAGCAGACCTACAAATTTCATTCCGAGATTCCACACGACAATAGCATACCTTTGGCAACGGCATTTGTAAGTGCTGGAGAGATGGGGTTGCCAGTGGGACCGAAAAACAAGGGTTGGTCAAACACCTTCACTCTCCGTCCCGTCTACGATCCAACAAAGTACAATCTCGTCATGGATGGAAGGATGTCGCGTGACAATAAAATATTCCTTGCTGAAAGCACAGTTATTGTGCGACAGGAGTGGATCAAGGTTGAAGAACCGCCACCGGCAGTTGTTGAAGGAGATAAGACAAAGTCAAAAAAGGAAAGCAAAGGAAGTAAGGGTAGCAAAGGAAGTAAAGGGAAGGGCAAAGACAACAAGGCGTCAAAATCGGCTGACAAGTCAAAAAAGTCGGAGAGCAAGGGAAAGGGAAGCAAGAAGGGCAAAGCCAAGGGTGGCAAGGCCTCAAAGGCGGCCTTTCAACCGCCTGTTGAAGTTGTGGTAAAACCTCAAGACAAGAAGGAAGAGCAGGAGGAATGCAAAGTACCTCAATATGTGCAACGAAATGTGGTGACGGATAGACAGGAGTGTCGAATAATTGACGTCTCCTATCAAGTAGTCGTCCGCCTGACTTTGGGGAATGAGGGAGGTCAACCGATGGTGAGGGTGCCTTTCGTGTTGACACGAAACTCTCGGTACATTGATCGGCTGCCTCGAAGGATGCCACCGGTGTATGAGAAAGCGTCAATGCACTAATTGCTCCTCCTGCGTGAGGATCACAAAATGCCTCAGATGTGTCAGCGCTGATTGAAATGAAAAACACTTTTACGCCTCACTTGGATAAGTACAAATTGTTGGATTTGGATTGAAGCCCTCAAATTGGAGGACTAAAAGCCAAAAAAAAAAAACAACTATTGTTGGTGGAGTGCACAGGTCGTCTAGAGTGGCATGAAGGGGATAGG